TGTCCCTCAGGCCCTGTTTCTGTCCCAGGCCCTGTTTCTGTCCCAGGTGTCCCCGTGCTGTCCCTCAGGCCCTGTTTCTGTCCCAGGCCCTGTTTCTGTCCCAGGTGTCCCCGTGCTGTCCCTCAGGCCCTGTTTCTGTCCCAGGTGTCCATCCTGACGGTGCCTCCCCTGGAGCCGGGCAGAGCAGCCGTTCGTGTCATCGAGCTCTGCTCCTCCACCATGACGTGCATGAAGGACACCTGTAAGTAAAGGAGATTTTCCCTCTGCCTCTGGCAGCTCTGGAGCACAACTGAAAACCTCTGGGTGTTGTTCCTCTGCTGCACAGAACATGGGGAGCCGTGGCTGCCTGCTCTCATGGAGCTTCATGGGCTCATTTTCACTTACACAGGAATAAATCCTCCTTCAGGAGATGAAAATAATAATCCAAAGCACACGGATCTTTCTGGTAATCTGTCATTTGTTTTTTTTGAAAATGGGCTCCCTTAGCTGAACTACTAAATGGAAATACCTGAACTACAGTATATTTGGGAGCCTTTTACCTTCTGAAAGGATTTTGTTGGTGGTGTTTTATGTGAACTTGAAATAATTGAGCAGTAAAATATTCATTTGGGATATTTATCAAAATAGAGTTAGAAGTTACCTTACCTGATTCTTTTTAACAAGAAAGAAGTAACTGTAATAATAATAAATTTATTTTGCTGTTAAATAGGGTTGAACTAAGTTCTTTGAGTATGAAAGAAGAGTAAAGGCTTAAGTCATTCAAAGTTATATCTCCTACTAAATAATAGTAAAAAAATATAGGTTTGTAATTAATTAATACCTTAGTGCTATAAAACATATTGTTAATATTTATCATTTAAATAGCTGATTTCTTTTTATGAAGGGTTCATAAGATATATACAGCAAGAAGTGGAACTAATGAAAGATTGATGTTCCATGGATCTAAAGTATTAGTTTCAGGAGGATTTTTATGGTGCTGAAATATTAAGGTTTCTGTTATTTACTTTTCTCCATCAATTCCTTTCATTTCAGAAGAGTAGGTACTGCCTTCCTTAATGAAATTTGTCTTCATATATTGAAATAATAAAGTTCTATATTAAGCATAGCTGAGTTCCAGTTATGGGACATATTTCATAATTTTTTAAAAAACTTTTACATCATTATCTGTAAATGGGTTTTAACCTGACTGATTTCTCCTTGGAACAATTATTTAAGATAAGTATACAAATACATCTACTCTTTGATCACAGTGCACAAATGACAGGCACATCATCTGTATTGCCACTTGAGTGGAACCAAACTCCTTCACTTGCCCTAAAAATGGAGACTGTAATGATGAAATCAGGAACTGAGCTCATCGTTCTTCCTGCTGGGAGAATTACTTGAAGACAAATGTTGGCAACCACTGTAACTAATGCAGTTATACCTGAGTAAATCAAATATAATCAAAATATAAACTGATGACTGTGACTCATAACCATAACCCTAAAGATAATAAAAAAGATTTTATAGAAAGTAAATGATGTGAACTTTAGTGATTTATAGCTGGGTTTTTTGAGGAAAGAAGAGATTTTATATCATAGTGTTTGGGATTGGAAGCATCTAGTTAAGGTTAGGGGGAGACTTTGATCATCACCACCCTTTTCCTTATTTTTGTATATATTCCTTCAGACAGAAGGTTTGGTCTGGACTGAATAAAAAAATGAATATTAATGTTTGAATAGAATCTGTATGTGTGCAACCTGAAAGCAGAGGAGCAGGAAGGGTTAAATCTCTGTTCCTGACAGAGCCAGGGTCAAGATCTGAGTGAGGTACTGGGAAATAATGACAACAAATACAGCCAGACTTCAGGGAGAAGAGACAAAAATGTCATCTAGGTTTAAAATAACACCAGAGCTGGGCACTGCTTTTAAATGGATCAGAAATTTACAGTACTGAAGAAAAATCAGTTTAAACTTTGTACAGTGTTAAATTCTTTCAGGATTCTTTGATGGAGACTTCTCTGGTGAGAAGTTTCCAGGAGCAAATGAGTCCAGCAAGGTGATTTTATGAAAAGCTTTAAGGTGAAGCTTTTAAATGAATGAATGGCTGGAAAATCAGGTGGGGTGAAGCAGCTGGTTCTGGATCTGAGCAGGGAAACAGAACAAATAAAGGAATAGTTCAGCAATAGTTCCTCCCATCTAAGAAGTGGATGAATAAAATGTTGTACAAAGGATTGCACAGTCATAGTGTGCATCATGAGAGTAACTTGGAGAGTTCTCAGGTGTTCCCAGAGAATTTCTCTGTGTGCTGTACATGCACTCTTATGTCCATGGTACTTCCCTGGCTTAAAGGAAGGGGTTTTGTGAAGAACTGTGATTTCTAAAAGCCTGCTGTGCCTTTTGAAAGTTGTAAATGTTGTTTATCTGTCTGTGTGTTGGTGATTGGAATTAGTTTGTGTTCTCTTTTCCCAGATTTAGTCCATCTAACCTGTCCATCAACTAAAACTGCAAGGGAAGATTTAGAGCCTGTTGTACAGAAGTTATTCAATCTAAATACAGAAAAAGGTAAAAATAAATAAATTAGATACTATGATACAATCTTTCATAAATACAATTCACTGTAGTAGCTGTTACTGACTGCTTCAGCTGTGGTTTAACTTCAGTATCCAAGGACATGACCATAAGTGTCTGGGACCTTTTTATTTTTCACACTTTCTTTTTTCCATGGAACATATTTGCTGTTCAGCACATTGTTGAAAGGTTCAGTAGGGAAATTTAATATTTTGAAATTGTGGAAACTTCTTGGGTTGTTTTTGTCCCTTATTTTCAGGCTGTTGCTCAGCCTCTTGTCTTCAAGTGTTTCCTTGTTTGCTGTTTGAATTGAAATTTTTCTGGATTCTGCTGTAAGCAGTGGAACCATCAAGTTGTTCTAGATTGAAATCACAAAGATAGATTTCCAATAATGAACTACTTGGCCCTAAATTCAATGAAACCTTGGCTACTTTTTGAACTTTGGCCTTGAGATGGAGAATCCCACACTCCAGAGGAGAACAGCTGCTGCTGGAGCTGAAGGAAATTGTTCCTGAAATCCCTGGGCTAATTCCACAAAAGTTTTTGAAATTTAATCCTGAGATCTGACTGGACCCATATTTGTGGTAAATATTCACAGAGTGGGTGATGTGCATGTGGGAGATGCTGCTGTGCTCCAACCCTGGCAAACACAGTTCCAATCCAGTGTGCCCCTGCTGCAAGGCAATAAATCACATTTTTGAGAGGAAACAGTGCTCAGCTCCCACTGACAGGGGTAAATGCAGGTTACTGAGACATGGGAGTACTTTATAATACTCATAATTGGTTTGCTTGTAATATTTAGAAAACAACTTAGATTTGTAAATAGAAAACTTTATTAGACTGGAGAGTTGCAAACATTTCTCATTCGTAGATGTGTTAACTTAAAGCCTTCTAATTTTCACCTTTTAATATTTCACTCCCCTCTTCAATTTTCAAGACAGTGCCATGTGTTTCAAAGACCTGGTGAAGAGAAGATCAGCTTAGTGTCTCTAATCATTTGGGGAGGGGTAGCATTAATCTTCATGTTTGAAGTGATCCAGGTTGGAAATGATAGATTGTTTAGAGGCTGACTGAAATTCTTCTGTAGGAACTCTGTGATCATTGGGGTCCTCAGGTGCACTGAGGCACTGAGAAGCCACTTTTCCCTGACACATAGGCCTTTTTATCATCAGGATGAGGTAGTGGTCGTATTTTAATTAAAATGTCAGAACAAATACTGTTGGAGTTATTGAAAATGAATCACCAGATAAAGTGAGCACTGGGCCATGGCAGGTCAAAGAGGCAAAGTCACCTGGAGAAGAGGACTCCATTCATTTTCCTGCCTAAATGAGGAAGAAGTAACTTTTATGAGCAATGTGAACTTTTAAATATATTAAAGAGCATCTTGCCCTGTATTAAGGCTCAGACTTTCACAGGCTGATGAATTTAATTTATATTTCAAACTGTTCAGTATGGGTAGCACCTATTTTTTTAGCTATTTGACAGTTATAAAAAGATACTGAAGGAATAGCATAGATTTATCTCTTTTTTGTAATTCAGCTGCTTTAAAATGCTGTTTTGAATGCCATAGTTATCAAGAAGTTTTTTTCCTTGGAAAGAAGTAAATCTCACAAGGTCTTTTACAAGCTTCATTTACTTTAGAGGAGGTAAAATACAAGAAAGGGGAAAGCAAATATTCCAAACAAATAGTATCTATTAAGCCCAGATTCTGTGTTGTGTGTTCCCCCAGTGCACTGTTCAAAAGTGACCTTCATATTTCCAGAGGTTTTTCTGCCTGTGTGCAGAGGGATCACAGGAATGTGCAAAGTACAGCAGGGAGGGACAGAGCATGAGCAAGGAAGTTGAGTTTGTGATAATTCTGTATTCTTGATGAGTATTGCAGCACAGTACCAGCCTCAGTAAGTGTAGATAAATACACATTAGACATTTCTTTTCATTCAGCAGCACTGCCACAATTACAGATTCTCTGTAGAAAGGTAAAATATGAACCCATCAGAATATCTGTGCACAGGGAGTGCAGTGCCTGTGAGCTGGCAGAGCCCAGGCAGGACCTGCTGTCTGTCAGTGCTCTGGCAGTTTATCCCAGTGAAGGAGATCATGTGAGAGGTGTTAAATTTAAACCAGGCTTAAATTTAAACCAGGCAGGGTGCTGGCAGTGACAGCTGCTGCTGGTGTGGTGGAGGGTGTGCAGAGAGTAGAGTGTGCATAGCTGTGCTTGGAAAGGAAAGGGAAAGAATGATGGAGGAGAATCTCACAAAGTTAAATTATTGACTTTTTGAAGAACAAAAATACTTTATTGCAGTAATTCCGTGGTAAAAATTTGATTTCCAGTGTGCTAAATTACATATGTACCTTATCACAGAACAACACTGATTACTGCAAACACTCCTTTTCCTTTTCAGAGACTGAAAATGAAGAACTGCAGAAACCCAGAGTCCTCTGGGCAGTCTACTTCAACATGAGAGATTCCTCAGGAGTTGAGAGGAGTTCCTATGCTGGCTTGCCCTCCAATGTTTATGTCTGCTCTGGGCCAGACTCTGCTTTGGGGAATGACTGTGCTGTCAAACAGGTTGGGCAGAGCAGATTTTGGTTGCAGAACTTTAATTCTAAAGAAATAAGTCCAATACAGTCTGTGTTATTTTGCTGTACAAAAATTTACGTGATAACTCTGCTAAAATTATAAAACTAGGTAGATGGAGACATCAGGAAATAATCACAGTCTTCAACTGGAAGGTAAAAGAGGAGGTACAGTACAAGTCAAAGCCAGAAAATCCTGTCTGCAGTTCACGTGGGAAGGATCACCAAAGAGGTTCAGTACTTGCAGGACACAATCCCAAACCAGAAACTTACTGGGGAAAAACTCAGCACAATTCCTAATGAGGTAGATCAGGCCTGCTGCCTCAGCTTTCCTTCTCTTTGCCTTGGTATCACTGCATTAAAGAATTTTCCTTTCAGAGACCCCCTGGGTAAGGGAGGAACAAATTCCTGGGCAGAGCTGCCCCAGCAGCCCCTGTGCTGGGCACTGCCAGCCAGGAGAACACTTCACAGCTTTGGAGGATTAAGTGGCACTAGGCATTTTTAAAGCTGTGTTTTTAATAGCCATGTTCAGACAATGTGCATGCCATCTTCCAGCCAGTTGCAGGATTTTTTATGACTAAGTCATAAACCTCTTAAAAATAAGGTTTTGAAGTGGAAAGGCTGACATAGCCTGAGCTGCAGGGTCAGAACAGTGTCATTAAGGGCTAATAGTATCCTTCATTTTGCTTTACAAGGCAATAATTTGCCTCTCAGAGGGATAAAGACCTGTAAAGACAAAAAATAATGCAAGACAATTATTATGGTAGCAGTTTTAAATTGTAAATGAGTTCCTTTCTAAATTTAAGTTTTTCAGACTGTTATTTAAAACAGGGCATGTTCTGATTTTAACATTTCTAACATTCAGGTTTGTCTTCCCTTAAGAAGTTTTCTTCTTACCAATGAACAATGATGGGATAGATCAGGTCCTGTTTAGGTATTTTTGGTGCTTTATTCAGCCTTTATGTTCAATCTGTTGGCCATCAGTGAGGGAGATGCTGAGCAGATTTCTGAGGAGGAACCATGAAGAGCCTGAATCACTTTTTAGCCAAACTAGGGAGAGGCTGCGTTTCTTTGAACCTGACTTAAATTTTGTAACAAATGGTCACAAACCAAGTTAAAGTGGAAAATACTTCAGTGTAACCATGTTTATAATTGGAAGTGGTGTGTGAGAGCAAAGTGAAGAGGAGGCTGAGGATGAAGCAGGAGTGACACCATGCAGGACCTTGCAGACAAGAGGAGGAGGGAAATAGCTCCAAGTTGGTGTGTCCTCCACTCCCAAATGACTCTCACCCTCCCAGGAATGGGATGGCAATCTCCAAACAGGAGATATTTGCAAACTCATGGATCAGAACAGCTTAAAAAACACCCAGTGTGTGTATTAGTCTTAAAGATAGCTTGGGGAATTATATCTGATTTCTCTAATCATTTTGGGATTAGTGTTTTAGTGATACTTGCTGTGATTTATTTTCTTCATTACCATCAGTATTACTGAATTTGTTTGTCATGCTCTGTGATTGCACTGCTGATCCATTGTTGGCAGGGCAGGACCACAGACAACTCTCCATCGACACCTCATTTCCAAATCACTGCCCTTTGTTTTATTGCAGTTCTGTGTCCAGTTCCTGGAGTGATACTGAATTCATGCTGATGGTTGCATTTACTTGCCCTGAGGACAGGCTAAATGAAATGAAGATGCCATTTATGATCTTTTCAAACTCTTATGTGTGGATCTAGTAAAGCATCTGGCTTCCAGTTTTCTGTTTTCACTGCTGCAACCTGACATGAATTATTAGGAGCTAGAGTAATATATTCCCTGACATATTTCAGACTTCTGAGGCATCTTCATGGTCAGGAGAGGATGTACTAAAACTGTCAGGCCAATATTTGTCCTTTCACCTGTTTATTTTCTATATCTGGAAGGATTTCAGAGTTAAGCAGGTGTTGGTGCTTTGGTCGTGGTCCCTGTAGGAGTTGCTGTGAAAGTCCCCACAGTTTATCCACAAGTTGGGATGCAGAAAAACAGGAACAGAATTGAGTTTTATTCAGCTCCAGCTTTACTGGAGTTGCCATGCAAGGGCTTTACATGCCTGTGTCTTAATGCTGGGTTCAACTGGACACACATTTCTCAGTTGATGCTACTAAATATTGAAGAAACTATTGTCTAATACCTTGGAATTATAGACAGGAGTTTTAAATAAACCACAGATGTATGGGGATGTATTTTCAGTGCTAATGTTTCACTGGATAAGAGTAGTTCTGAGCTGGGCAATGTTTAAGCTGTTCAGAAAAGGGGAAATAGAAATTTTTTGCATTTTTTTAAATTTAATAAGGAAACCCAACTAGCCATGATATGGATTGTACATGTGTACAATTCCCTGGGTTCCTTTGAAATGGATTCCTCTCTCTGGAAAGAGCCAAGACCTTTCCCATGCTTTGCCTTGGACTGCAGCTAGGGATGGTTTTATAGTGCAAGAGATCAGTTTGCTTCCAGAAAAATCCTCTTTCTTGTTCTCAGTGCAACACAGAATGGCCAGCATTTTTTACAAAGCCCTATGCTGTGACTTCCTAGTAGAACAATGTAAAAAGATAAATTGCTTTTTGTCTTTCGAGGTCTGCAAGAAGGAATGGATTTCCCATGTGTTTACAATACTGTCAAAGCACTAAATCACTATTGATTTGAAAGAACGCAGGTTAATCTTAAATATCTGTAAAATATTGCCTCAGGCTGTAACATTTCAAGGTAAAGTTTATGTTATTCTTCTTTTTCCTGAATAGGCTGAGACTATTTTCAGAGAAATGTTTCCAGCAGAGGAGTTTTGCCCCCCACCACCGAATCCAGAAGATATTATTTATGATGAAGATGAGATTGAGCCAGAAGAGTCTGAATTGAATAATTCACCAGAGACAAAGCCTGAAACCTCAGCTGAGGAGAGCAGTAGTGAGGGTGGTGCTGCTGTTACAAAGGAAGAATGAATGAATGAGTGAATGAATGAATGAACAGTGTTCTCTTAGGAGAAGAGCAGGTAGACCCAAACTAGGACATAAGGGAGGAAGGGTAAGAAAAAGAGGTTTAAAACCCCCATAGATGTGTTATTTGACATTGCCTTACTTTCCTTAGCTTGGATCATTTTTTAAAGTTGTTTCATTAGTAGCTGAGACACTTCTAAACAGTCACAGGTCCACCAGATCCAGTGGGGTTTGTAGCTAAACAGAAATACAGAATGAGGCATCTGAATTGAAAGTGCTAAAATAGGATTCATGATTTATTGAGATAATTTGGTTTTGTTTTACATCTTGGAAAGAATCCTCCATCTTTTAAAGAAGAAGTCAAAACTAAGCAAAAAGAAAAAAGTGCAAGTTTGTTTGCCAGTTAGAAAATGATTTCTACTAAAAATCCTTGGATCTCTGCTAATTAAGCAGCTGAAGGTGAGGCTCACCATCTGTCCTTCACAGTGGCCTTATGAATGGAATTTAAAGGCAATAATATTGACAGTTCTGCAGTGGCTTTATTGTATGGTTTGGAAACTGATGCCATAATCAAGTAGGAAATATAATCCAGCAGATGTTCCTCACATGGGATTATTTTACATTCAGTTTTTTTTAGTAAGACCTAACAGATGACACATTTTCTCCAGTGATTTCATTTACTGGAGTCAGGAAAATGGCAGAATTTAAACTTAATGGCAGATTTCCCAGCAGAATTCAGTCATAAATGGAGCATTCCTGTTCTTAGTCTCCCTGGATTTGTTGCACAGTTTGGGCTTTTAGTAAGCCAATAGTTATTTTTTGAAGTTTAGGGTCTGAGAAGTTTAAATGACCATCAGCTGAGGGGGTGTGTGGTGGAGAGAAGGTTCAACTGATAATTCCAAAGGTTTGTATTGATCCCAGTTAATAGATTAAAGTTAGTGTAAACTATGCATTTTGTAATGATAAACCATGAAGCATTTATACAATAAAATGTATTGAACTATTTATAAACCTAGTTTGTATGAAAAAAACTACCAAATGAGAAAGCTGCTGTAAATGACCATGTTTAACTTGCACTTCTTCTGAACCATGCTTGAAATCAGATCTGAAAAGTATTTCTCATGTACTTAATTATTTACTTTAAAATGCACACCCAGTAGATCAGTAGTATCTCTAGAGTTGATGAGTTGGGGTTTAAACTTCTTCATGAGGGTAGAGCCAGTTCCAGGAGTGCTTAAATACTGTAAGTAAATCAAAAATGCCATTGAGTCCTGACCATTGAGCTCTGCCTGGCCCTGCCACAGCCAGGCTGCTGTACAGCCCTGTGGTGCCTGTGCCTGCCCTGAGCCTGGCTCCAGGCCAGCAAGGGGAATTGATTTATTTTTTTACAGCATAACTGATACTGTTCTCTTTGTCCTGCATGGTGCCCACTGTCCAGTCTGCATTTCAGGGTTAGTGTTTGCTCCTGTGTTGGGTAGGTACTGGTGTGTGTGTGTGTGTGTGTCTGTGTGTGCATAATCCAGAGTGCTGACACAAACATGTGGCTGGAATGGTCCCAGTGTTCAGCAGCTGTAACCTCTGGATGCTTGTGATTGAGCAGTTATTTATATATATAAATATATCTATTAATGAGCAGGCTGCCTCTTCATTTAGCTGTAATTTCTCTGTATTGGGAAGCATGGGGGTGTATGATTTTATTTAACATCTGCAGATCTGTGAAAGAGCTGACTGGAGGGACCCATCCCTGTCTCACAAAAACAGGGATCATAGCTGAATCTCTCATCTGTGTTTACAAGGAAATCTCTTGATGAAAATTAAAGGTTTGCTTGCAAGTTCGTGGTCCTGTGTTTTCTTTCAACTTTTTTTCAAAGCAAACCAGTTCACTTTTAGCTGGGGTTTCCTGAGGATTCTCTGGGCTGCTCCCAGCACAAGGACATGTAATTGCCAATATGGGTACCTGGTTATCAAGTTCTATCAATTCATGTCTGAGTGCTCTTGTCCATGTGAAGCCAGGTTTGGGAATGGCTCAGGTTTGATCTGAGATCTGATGGAATGATGAACACATTGCAGGTATGACTTTCCACTACATTGATTGCTTAAAAACTGTTTTCATGTCTCTTTCATAGGGTGAATGGAAACATTAAATGTTTTTCCTATGGTACTTGGGTACCCAATAGCTCACTTGCAGGAGCAGTAGATCAGACTGTTGATGCTGGTATTTTACAGAAATCATGCTCTGAACTGCATTTTGTTCTTTCTTTAAATGATGTAAGCATGCAAAGTGAGGGTTAGGCTGATTTGAAGTCGTTTTTAAGGCTTGTCATACAGGATGTATTCAAAAGATAACATGACTTTTTAAAAACTGGCAATTTATCTGTAGGATTATTAATAAATCAAGTTAAAGAAAGATAAGGTTAATTGAATTTTTAAACAAGTAGCTGTATTATCCTTCAAGCACCTTGGAGCTCATACAATATTCACACCTTTTTTTTCCTAAGGAGTGCTTTGATATGTTTGAATTCCTTTTTTAATGAGTACTTTCTTTTTAAGTTGGTTAATTGGATTAACCCTTCATGTTCAGAGAGTCCATTTGATGCCATTTTCCCTCCTGTGGCATTGCCTGGCCTGTGGGAGTGCAGGTGGTTACAGTTCCTTTGGAGGCATTTCCAGCCTGGAAGCTGCTTCGTCTGCTTTTTGTGCTGCTGATGATGCTTAGGGCCATTTGACAGGTAATCATTAGAACCTGGATCCTTGCAGACTATGGGGTCTTTTCTCCCATCATTGCAGGGGGATTTATGTGGGCAACTCCTATTAATGTTAATGGCACTTGCATGTGTAAATCCTCCTTGCATCAATGGGAAAATTGACCCCTGAAACAAAATATCTGCCTGTTGGACTTGCTGATTCAGAAACATGCAGGCACTGCCTCTGCCCTGTGTGCTGGGGCATGTGCTGCTTCCCTGGAATGCTCTGGGGGAGTTTTCAGCATTTTCTCTTTTACATTGTATTTTATATTTTCCATGGACTGAATCTTGTCAGAGTTGCCCCAGTGATTCTCTTTGTGTAGCTGGGAAATGCAATTTCCCATTCCATCCTGAGCAGCTTGCACAGCTCCTTGGATTGGATCTCATTTTATTTCAGCCCCTTCTAAATCTTTTTGCTTCAGCAGTGTGAGTTGCAACAGCTTAATTTCAAGAATAATTTGCTAGTGATGTATTGATTAATGACAAGTCAGAAGTATTAATGTACTGTTTTCACACAATAAGAGACTGGGTCACTTACAATCCATAATCTCTTCTGCAGAAAGGATAAAATTAATTTCCTCAACACTCATATATGTGCTTCAATAGCTAGGCAGCACAAATGAGAAAGTATTTTATCTGTGGATAAGTTTATTCATTCTGCATTGTGTATGGTGTCGTTCACACATTTATATAGATATTTTATATAATCTCTGCAGTGCATTTTTGGGTTTTACTTATCTGGTGATTTTATAGCAGTACCAAGTCATCCCTTGGATGTAAGAAGTCTGGTGTGGAACTGCAACTAAACTAAACTAAACTGCCCCAGAGCTCTCTCCTGGCTTTTCTGCCCCAGTGAGTGCTCTCTTCAGCCTTTAGCTATCAATAAGCTCTGCAGATTCTGGTGGGTTGACTTCTATTCCTGTTCCTTTTCAATTTTTTCTGAGGATATTTTGCCTGCTATTAATGCAGTTGCTGATTTTCCAGCAAGGTCAGCAGTTTGCTGAGATCACATCATGACACAGTTGATCTGTGTTCTACAGTTCCTAACAATTGTTCTCCAATGGGTGTATATATGAGTATTGTATGACAAAATTATCAATTTGTGAAACTTCAACTTTTGCAGAAACCAACCGCTACAGAACTTCCAAAAGTTAGAATTGCCTGTGTTGCTATAATTGTCAGAAATACATGGGAGAGTTGTGGTGGGAGAGTTGTGGTGGCAGAGCAGTTGCCTGCATTCCCTGGGTAAGCAATAATGCCGAGTACCTGTGGTAAGGTGGAGTGCTTGTGACACTGCAAGTTCCAGCTACTGATATAAAACATTCATTTATAGCAACCCAATTTAATAATAAGCTTGCTGCAATGATCAGATGGAAATTTAACTTAGATGTGTGATTTCAAGAACTTTAATGGGATCAAAAGTTGCCACAGAAGGATTCTTTGAGCTGCAGATGAGTGGTGGGAAATGGTCAGCCATGTGGAATTCATGTTGAAAACAGCTCATGGTGGAAACAGAGCTTATTAGCAATTCCACCATTATGTTTATTTACAGGCTGCCAGCTCCTGTTTGTGAGAGTGAATGGTTCTTCAGAATCTGGCTGGGGAGCCCAGCAGGAATGCTGTAAATCTCACTGACATCTCAGATTTAGAAAGTTGACAGCCAAGTATCAGGAAGATGCAGTTGTTGACTGCCTGGGAGTTCTGATCAGAGGGGACTTTAATAGAAAATACTCTTCCTGTCACAATTCCAACAGACAATTTATTTTACACTACTTGCATGCATTGACAAAAGAGATGGAAAGTATCAACCTGAGTGTCCATCAGACCCAGATGGATTTGACTAACAAGTCAGGGAGTCTCAGAACACCCCCAGTTTTAGATGGAGATTTTCAGGATCTCATACTTCCTTCTGAAGTGCCACCCCATAATTCATTGTCTATTGGGGCTCTGGAAAAAGCTTTAATGCTGTTCCTGCATTCTGTAGGGTTCAGACTTCAGGAGGTGGGGCAGGCCAAGCCTGTGGGCCCTCCTGAACCAGCACAGGCTTTGCTGGTGTCAAACAAATGCTCCTCTGGCTTTGAGAGTGCTCTTGGGCTGCTCCAGCTTCAGGAAACCTCTCCTGAGCTCTCTCACTCTTTTGGGGTGAGCATGAAGCTGCCCTGGGAAATGCTCTGTGGGAGCAGTTGTTGGCTGGATCCTGGAGCTGAGGTCAGTGATGATAAAACATCTGGGTGATGCTGCTCCAGACTGCAGCTCACCAGCACCTCAAAACAGGTCACAACCCATAAACCAGTGTGGGTAATTGTGCCTGAGCTGGTCATTGTGCCTGAGCTGCATGCCCAGAGTGAGGAACAAGTGTTTAATCACTGGAAATTGGAGTCTGAGAAAGGACACAAGAGTCTTCTCTGAAAAACCCAAATTTTCATAATCCCAGATCCAAACCCTGCAGGGCTGTTCTAGACTCTGTGTGCACAAGAAACTCAGTGAGAGCTGATGTGGGATTCTGCATCTATTGTGCCTCAAACCAGCAGATTTTGGAGCTCACCCAAGGGAAAGCCATTGAATGATGAGGAGAGAGCAGCTGTCAGCCCAGAGCAGGCAAACAGCTCCTGCTCTGGGAGCCTCTCCCTGGCGTGAAAGTCACTGCAAGCCATGGTGGATTCCTTTGTTGGGCATAAATTACCCAGTGAATTCAGCCTTTTTTTTCTTGTGCAAAAATCTATGTAAGCCCCAGCTAAGTCCCTTCAGTGAATCATTTTAGACCATAGATTATCCAGGGAGAATCCACTACAGGATTCTTACAGCAATTTATTAGCTTAAGTCATGGGATATTTCCCTGCTCTGTGTTTGGATGCTAAAATAATGCATAATAATGAATACACCATTTTTAAAATCACATCAGACATTTTTAAGAAAGAAAAAATGGCTTTATGAAAAATATAAAAAATAATTTTAAGGAAGCTGCTGTAAAAAAAAAAAAAAAGTCACCTTCTTATTTTGGTGACATTTGTACATGATGTATTTTCTTTCCATGGAAGTTTTAAGCCAGGAAACATTTGATTCCTTGCCAGACTCTCAGTCTGATTGCAGAGTGAAAATATGAGCATGGTGAAAGCCAGCAGCCTCTCAGTGAGGATATTCCTGTCTGCTTGGGAGCACTGGGCATGCACAGGTCTGGAAACGTGCACAGGTCATGAGGGGCACAGAGCAGGGCTCACATGGGGGAGAACACCACCAGTGGGTTATGGATCCACCTGGGACTCTCAAAAAATGGATATATTGTTTTGGCTCTGGCACTGCTTTCCTCACTGAATGTGGTTGAGTCATTTCCCTTTAATGCTGTAGTAAAAAGGTGTAAAATAGCGACAGGAATTTCCTGAAGCTTTTTAGGAGGTCAGTGAAGTATAAAAGTAAATGTATTTGGGAAAGAAAATGAACAGTGGTGATGATAACTGTGAAAATGGATAGATTATTTGAATAGGGGGGCAAATGATCTGAGGAAACAATCCATGTAACTCCTGTAAGGTGCCTGGGATAGCAGAGGTTTTGTTATTCAAGTCCCTCCTCCCAGCCCTGACATTTCCCATGTTTCTCAAGTGAGGTTTCACCAATCAGCACAAACTCTTTGTTTACTGCTTAATAAAAATAACCAAATTATCCTTATTTTATGAAATCTTTTTCTGATTACGCATATTTTGCTGGCAGATTGTAATGCATATTGCTTCATTGTTTAATTAGGACTTAATGCTAATGTCATTAACATTCTGCTCGATAATTCAGCAGGTTCCCTATTTATAGACATAATGAAAGTCGTAACTTTTTGTGGCGCAGTGCTTCTGCCTGTTCTATTAAATTAAAAATAAACTTACTCTAACCTGACATTAGCTTTCAGTTTCGTTGTACATGGTCCAGTGAGTCTGAAAAATGCTGCTGCATGCAGTAAACATGGGAGTTTTTAATTATTGTATTTATTTTTGGTTGAGTCTAAGTCATCCTTTCCCTTGAGGGAAAAAAAAAAAAGAAATAGACCAAACTAAGCAAGAATCTCAGAAAACTGATCTGAAGTTTGAAATATTGTCCTTGAAGACAACT